GAGAGAGAGAGAGAGAGAGAGAGAGAGAGAGAGAGAGAGAGAGAGAGAGAGAGAGAGAGAGAGAGCTGCTTGCACTGCTCCTTGCTGGGCTCCTCGTGCGGCCTTTGCTGCACCCACTGCCAGCCCTCCTGCGTCTGCTCCGCGTCTGCTCCTTGCCTGCTATGGCCGCCTCGTTTCCCTGCTTCTTCCTCCCTCTGACAATGGCGGTAGTGGCGGGCATGCAAGCTCGAACGTTGTTGTGGGAGCGGGGGGGGGGACCTCGCAAGGCGGGAGGATGAATTCAAAGACTGTGCCCACTACGAAGCCGCCATGATGCAATGCGGACTTCCCCTGCTATGCATCGCAGTCAGCTCTGATACGTCGAACTTTCAGTCGGACTTGCCTGGGACTGAGCTGCAAACTGACATCGACTTCAAGTGTCCCACTACATGATACGCAGGACACTGGGAACTGTGACCAGGACTAGGAGTCTGAGGCACGTGAAATCCTTTCACTCCAGCCGGCCTAAATTTGAGTTCCTCTTAGAAATTCAACAGCTTTTTCCGTATGGCATACAGATCCCTCTTCCAGACTGTTCAAAATTTGCAACAATTGTTGGGGCACTCTCGCTTAATTGGTCTTTCTGGAACAATCTCCCTTCTTCCAGGTCCTCGTACTGCCATTATACAGTAAACTGTTGCTCAGGTCATCCCCTCCTTAGTGTTTTCAGTGTATCCTGATCAACTGTACTCTCAATACTGTAGCTTCTGTCCATACAAGGTGGAATCAGTTGATCTAAATGAGGGGACAGACTTGTGTGATTTGACAGGGAATAGTTCGGATGCATGGGACACGGAGTAAGTTTGCAGATGAGGAGGGACATCAATAACATAGGACGGGCCATCAGCACCTCCCATCATATCTGGTACCTCTTACGGCTCTCTATTCACAGGTGGAAACTTCTGAGAAGTCCCTTCTGGCACAAAATCTTTAGACTTTGCCCAATTTGGGTCGCCTACAGCAAGCTGTAACAGTCTACAATGTTTATTTGTGTGATCTCCATGTTCTCCTGGCCATGTCTGATGTTTTCATTGACTTCTGGAGGTCCTTCTCTTATTCAGTGCGTATTCACAAACGCCGGGTTGTAATCTGTGAATCTGATCACCATTGACACAGTCCGGTCTAAGCAATTTCCACCTTTTATGAAACTCGTTAGGCGCCTTGCCAGTGGTCAGGTGCATAGAGTTATTCTAGGTGTTGGCGACCTCGGGCAAATGTTTGTCCCGGTCGATCTGACGAGTTTAATGTACGTGTGAAGCTGTAGCAACTTCTTCATCTGCTCCGTTTGACCATTCGTTTCTGGGTGTCTGCCTGACAACATGGTCAACTGGGAACCGAAGATTTGCATTAGTTGCTGGCACTACTTGCCCATAAATGTAACGTCCCGATCGCTAACTATGGTCACATGTAAGGTCCATTATCCTTGACCCAATGTTGGAAGAACTCTTAAATGACTGAGTCTGATTTTGACTCAGATGGCCAAGGAACAAATTCTGCATACTTGCTGAGCCGATCCCCTATAGCCATGACCATTCTGAATTTCTGAAAGGCTTTCATGCTGTCTCCACGTCCCGAGTCCTGGCCCCAGAGTCCCAGGTCCTGGTCCGAGAGTCCCACCTGGGCCCAGTCCAAGTTGGTCCCAGTAGGTCCTAGGAGTCCGGTAGGGTCTAGATGTTGAAGCGTAGGGCCCAACAGTCAGGTCGTTAGAAGTCCTAGGCACGGTTTATAGTTGCTGCAGTGCAGCATCGGGTCACTTGTCAATCCGCATATTGTGGAAGCTCTGCTGTAGCACTTGTGTGACCATCGTGCAATGAGCTTCCAAAACTCTACCCCGAATTCAACATGCAAAGGAAGAACGTTCACATGAGAGTTCACACGAAGCCAAGGGATGAAATCAGCATCAGAGCAATTGAGAAACTTCAAACAATTATCATATTATAGTTCAGGTTTCCAACAGCTCTGCTGCGCTCCTCCATCAACCCACTTCCGGTAAGTACCCCACCCTCTCTCCCCCTCCTGGTGTGACTCCCTCTATCTCTCTCTCCTAACTTGTATCATTCGGCCTCACTCCACTCATAACTTGTATCGCCCGCGTAACTTCAACCTCCGACCTTGCTGCTATGGCCGCCTTCTCCCCCCTACACTAACCCTAACTATGGTCAAGGCGCCATCTTCCTCCTCCAGGCGCCGATCTTCGCCCAAGTCGCACCGTCGCACAAGCAACCAGCAGCGCTTCTGCAACTCGCGGATGACCAACTGATAAGCGCTGTTACTGTAGCAGCTATAAATAGCGCTTTCACTTTATGCTTCCCTGCATCGGCCCGGTACTGGTCACCCGCGACCTGTCGCCTGCATGTTTGGATTCCAGAAAGTCTCCGGACTTTCTTGAGACTCTGCTGGTTTGGACTTTGGGACTGATGTTTCCTGTCGGGTACCAGACTTTCTCGAGACGCTGCTTTCTCGAGAGTTGTATGTGTGCAGTAATGGATAGCAGTGAGACAGAGAGAGACTTACCTGCTTGTCGTTGTTGTTGGCGGCCGTAGCCGCAGAACTTGAGAATTGAATGCAAATCCTTTCCAGTTGTAATTCAGCTCTGTGTATTCATATCCTGTGGATCTTGTTGGTGCGACTTGGATCTTGAGTGCGATGCACATTTAAAGTTTGTAGTAATAAATGCGGGAAACCAAGATCTTGATCCACGTTCCCGGATCATTTCACTTTCCTTGTGCAAATAAAAGTTGGTAAAACAGCCACTTCATCATTCCAAAACCTTCATGCCGGGACTGATTGGTACGCATCGACCTATGCAAAAAAGACTTTTACTATGATGTGACACGCAATTGCAGGGCTTCACATATGCAGTCACAAACATCTTCACCCAATGTCTGATGATGAGCATGGGAACTGTTTAGCAGCTCTAGATGGATGGGAAGGACGATAAAAACAGCAATTTGCCATTCCTAGTGGTGAACGAAGAGATGTTTTGTTCTTCACTGGGAATTTATCATATGCCCTACTCCACAAACTACTCCATATATGCTCCCTCACGGTATTGAATTCGTTAATAGACACAAGTTTCCATCAGACCGCAAACAGATCGCAAAGTAATGAACACCTGCATGACCACTACATGATGGTCGTCAGGGTGCATCCTTGCTTTCTCCACTTGCCTTATGCTTTCTCTTCTGGTAGAGGTCTTCTGCATACCGGTCGAGATGTGGCGATGTGGCAGGTTCGACAATCTTACACCTGGAGATATCAAGCCGCAGTTGCTTCGTTGCTGTTTTGATCTTTTCCTCATCGCCCAGCAGTGTGACTTCACAGAGTCCACGACGAACTATCTCTGCTGCTGCTTGTAGGACACGGGGCTCCACTCCTTCAGGAAGCACAATGTGCTGGGTCATGCTCTTCGCTTGCTGGAATAGGGTATGAGCAAACAGTTTTGGATTCATCCGCACTTTCCGTTCCTGTTCTCACCAACACCCCAACCCAAATCACAGAGAGAGAGAGAGAGAGAGAGAGAGAGAGAGAGAGAGAGAGAGAGAGAGAGAGAGAGAGAGAGAGAGAGAGAACCTACCCAGCAGCCAGAGAGAGAGAATAAGAGCCATAAGAGCCACAAAAGTCAGGCAAAGATGGCCTTACAGATAAAAGTGCTAGCGAAAAGATTAACAGATAAAGCCAATAAACAGGCAGTCATGTGCACTGAGGCATGCCGATCAAAAAATGCATATGGAAGAATACCACGGCTACCGCGGACCCGAATCCCGGACCAATCCAGACCCGGACCACCGGTCGGTCCGGGCATGATCCGGACGTCCGCATTTCCAGACCCGTCCGGGCCGCCCGGACCTGGTCTGGATCATCGTGTCCGGATTGGTCCAGATTTTGAATGAAAAAAAAAAAAAAAAGACACCAGATCTCTTATCCATGTTGAGTGCAGGTTCATGGTGTAACCTTTAAGGGGGAGAGTCCTAGGAAGACATACCTGTTGGCATATATGACAAACATGAACAATCATTCATTGACATTCGACCATGACTGTGCTGGCAAAGTCACTGCGAATCACAAACTACAGCAAGGGAAGAAAAAGTCCGATAAAGAAATAGATAAAGAAGTTAAAGGAACTCAAGTGGGGGGAACTAGCACGAAGTGTCGGCGGTGCTACCGGCAGTGGCACTACTAGTGGAAGTGGGAGACTGCTGGCGGCGGTGGGAGCGCTACCGGTGCTACCTAGGACGTGGAGTGTTAGCCATGCATGGGCAGCGATCGGAGATGTCTTGGAATGGCGTGCGTCTCCAGGTCCGCCATAGCCTTGCTGTGGTGTTGGTCTGCCCAGGTGCTTAACTGGGCGGGCGGCCAACCCTGCACATGACTGGTTAAGTAGTACGAGAGAGCTGGTGAAGAGCAAACTCAACTGCACCCATTGTGGTTGCTATACCATGAAGATCCAAGGGTGTGTGAAGGGAAACCCGTCATGGCAGCTCAGGCTCTTTACAGGGTTTTTGGAACAGCACGGACATGAGGGTAGCCCTGATTGAGGTGAAGGGGACCATTGTTGGTGTGATATTCTGGCTGTCGTACAACTGTGTTTATACAGTTGCGATTAAATAGGTAGATATGGTCGGCCTTGTGGTGGAAATAAGGGATGTCTGCATCTGGCCATCTGCATAGGCCAGATTCCTTCTCTTTCGACAAATCTGTTTAACCTTTGATTCTGTTGCTGTGATCGCTCTTGTGCCTAAGAAAGGAGGCAACTTTATTGTGGTTCAGGGCGAAACCAATGGTAGCTGTAGCAGCAGTGCCACCTTGGAACGGTGAGAGTGTACCAAGGGGTGGTGAGACGCTACTGGTTAGGTGGCATGAGAGCGCCGGTGAAGAGCAAACTTGAGTTGTACCCATTGTGATTGCTATACCATGAAGACCCAAGGGTGAATGGTGGGAAACCCGTCATGGCCGCTCAGGCTCCTTACAGGGTCTTTGGAACAGCAAGGGCATGAGGTTAGCCCTGATTGAGATGAAGGGGATTATAGTTGATGGGATATTCTTGCTGTTGTATGACTGTGTTTCTGCGCTTCAGTTTAAATAGGTAGATTTTGGTTGGGCCCGTGTAAATTCTATCTCTAGCTGTCTGCATAGGCTAGACTCTTTCCTTTTCTACAAATTTGTTTGAATTTTTATTTGTTTCAGTGAGAGGTTAAACGTGCTGTCGTCTACACACCCCTTGAGAAAGAGAGGCTTTTAGCTCTAGTGCTTCAAAGCTTTTTTGGAAAGTACTTGAGTAGAGATGGTTATGGGGACACTGGACCCGGTTTCCAGCAATCAGCCAAAGCTGGGTAATGGCCCCAATAAAATTTCTTCCGGGTTGAATTGTGAGGTCCCCAGCCTCAACTTCCATTTCTGAAGCAATACAAAGCATAGCAGTGATCGCACTTTCCACACACAAAAAAAAAAACGTTAAAAGGAAAAAAAAAAAAAAAAAAAAAAAAAAACACAATCCACAGTAAACTTGCATAAAGTTGAATAAACTATTAAACTTCAGTAAAGGTATTAAATTACTATTAAATAAAGTTCAAGACTTTAGCAGTTCACAGTTAAAGTCTCTCTCTCTCTCTCTCTCTCTCTCTTCAGTGTGTGTGTGTGTTCGTGTGTGTGTCGCGGCTGGGCCGAGCGCTCGAATGGAATAGCGAGTGGGCGGCAAAGCACGTAGAAATGCCTCGACCCGCCCTCTTTCCGCATTGTCACTGGCCCGCACTCAGCCCTCCAACAGTCTGGAAGCAAGTAGCAAAGGGGCCGGTTCGTCCAGCCTGTACGGCCGATACCAGCCCCAAAAATCCATCAAACATTTTTCTGGGGGTTCCCTGGACCCAAGGAACAGGTCCAGGGTGCCCCCCTTTGTTTTCAAATTTTGGGGTTTTGGGCCACCTCCAGATGGGCCTCCTACAGTCCGGCGTCCAGACACCGGACCACAGACCGTCTGGATGCCCATCCGTATGTCCGGAAGGCAGCCATGAAGAATACTCATTGTGATGTCTGAAAGCTATGAGGCTCTCACCTTCGATAATGCCTTCGATATAATATCCATATCAACATATTCATCGAAGAGGACCTGCATAGGGGAAATATTGACACCCATATCAGATTATCAGATTGCAGATCCTTAGTAAGGACACAAAAGCGCCAGGCACTAGACAAATAAGCAATGGGCTCTTGGCTCACATCTCAGGGATTTCGTGTCATCATGATAGAGGTACGGAGCACACGAACATGCAGCATTCCTTGGTGTGCCCAACCATCAGCAGTTACTGTGAGATTGATGCAACCAGCACCAGTCATGGGGAAAGCACATGCCAGAGTCTGACCAGATTGAGTCTGACCACATTCTCAATCCCTGCTTCTTGATTCAGGTTTCCTAACTCTTGCTGCATGCCCAGGCTATCAAAGTACAGAAAATAACCATTATCACAGACCCTAATCACCGTGTATGCCCTCACTGCCAATGGACCATGGTGAATTGGTGAATGCATCTGAAGAGAGGTGCTCCTTGCTTCGCGTTTTATAGTTCATCATTCTCTGCACATGAATTTTCAGACTGACTGCCACCCCATAGAATCAATCAATAGCATTCAGCAAAAGCGCTTCAGAAGCTCTCTCTCTCCCTCTCTCTCTCTCTCTCTCTCTCTCTC